TTTTTAATAAAACAAAAATGCCTCCATCTTTTTTTTTTGGACTAACTTTACTCTTACATTAAGGTGTCATACTGTACATTAGTTGCTATTAAGATAACTCATGAAGTATTTCTGGAACCATTTAGTCTTAACAGCCTTTTCCACAACTTGCCTCATCCTCTACTTCAGGTAATGAAACCCTACATTTCCCAGATGGCTTTTAAAAACAACCAAATAATGTGCCTGAACATGAGTTCAACTGTGGGTTTTAAATCTTATTATAGTCAATTTCATCTGTGCAAGACATATCCCAACAAGTGAGCCTGTCATCTCCATTAAACACCAAACAATGACACAGGCCCAGAATTGCAGCATTCATGATGAGTAGCTAATGTAACAGAGCTAAACTGTTTTAATGTGGAGCCTTTAAGACCACCCACACAATGAGCTGTAAAACCTGACTAAGCACTTTTGCACAATGTGCCTTGTTAATCCTGACCATCCACACTGCTGCCGAGCATTTCTATGCTCACATCACGTGACCGTTTAGAAGGTAGCATACTGTAGTACATTGCCACTTATTCACGTATCAGTCTATTACTGTAAGCACCAGAGAGACAATTGATTTTAGATATACTCATATTACTGTGATAATTGCAGCAAGAGTGGGAGAAAAATTAGGTGGGACAATTAAATCAACCCTATTCTCAGGTTTTAAGGCCAAATGCAATTTTCCACCTTTATGTGGCAATCCATGGGGAGGTGGTAATTGTATTGATTGCCGCCATTAATTAGGGGAAAGCAGTGTAATCTGGGGAGAGATGTTGAAATAATTCCCTTTAAATGTTTCAGAGTGGAGCAGGGCCAATCAATCAACTAGGGCACCGTCTTCTGGCGAGCCTGACACTTGAGTGAGGTGTTTATTAAGGAACAAATAAGCAATCAGTGATTACAACTCATAACAATCAGCCACTGAGATATCACTGTGAGAATGAGCAATCATTGCCTCTCATAGTCTTAGACAACAGCGGACTAAAAATAGACAATGTAAACACGGTGGTCGGGGGATCTGTAGGCATGAAGATGAAGGGATGCTGGGACAAACCCGGCTGGTGAGAACATATGTTTTCATGAGTGCACAGGAGGTAGAAAAGCTGTATATCATGACTTGATCTAAAAATGTATCGCAAAGTGAACATTTTCCTTGAGAAATTGCAATGGCTTGTAATTATATCAAATCACAATAGTTAGAGACTCTGTCCTCTAAGCAGACAATCTAGAGTCCC